AACAACAACAACAACGCTACCAGAGCTCCTTCTGGAAACCCTACAGAGGGTCAATATGAGTCTAATCAACTTGACGGTACTTAACAACAACAACAACAACGCTACCAGAGCTCCTTCTGGAAACCCTACAGAGGGTCAATATGAGTCTAATCAACTTGACGGTACTTAACAACAACAACAACAACGCTACCAGAGCTCCTTCTGGAAACCCTACAGAGGGTCAATATGAGTCTAATCAACTTGACGGTACTTAACAACAACAACAACAACGCTACCAGAGCTCCTTCTGGAAACCCTACAGAGGGTCAATATGAGTCTAATCAACTTGACGGTACTTAACAACAACAACAACAACGCTACCAGAGCTCCTTCTGGAAACCCTACAGAGGGTCAATATGAGTCTAATCAACTTGACGGTACTTAACAACAACAACAACAACGCTACCAGAGCTCCTTCTGGAAACCCTACAGAGGGTCAATATGAGTCTAATCAACTTGACGGTACTTAACAACAACAACAACAACGCTACCAGAGCTCCTTCTGGAAACCCTACAGAGGGTCAATATGAGTCTAATCAACTTGACGGTACTTAACAACAACAACAACAACGCTACCAGAGCTCCTTCTGGAAACCCTACAGAGGGTCAATATGAGTCTAATCAACTTGACGGTACTTAACAACAACAACAACAACGCTACCAGAGCTCCTTCTGGAAACCCTACAGAGGGTCAATATGAGTCTAATCAACTTGACGGTACTTAACAACAACAACAACAACGCTACCAGAGCTCCTTCTGGAAACCCTACAGAGGGTCAATATGAGTCTAATCAACTTGACGGTACTTAACAACAACAACAACAACGCTACCAGAGCTCCTTCTGGAAACCCTACAGAGGGTCAATATGAGTCTAATCAACTTGACGGTACTTAACAACAACAACAACAACGCTACCAGAGCTCCTTCTGGAAACCCTACAGAGGGTCAATATGAGTCTAATCAACTTGACGGTACTTAACAACAACAACAACAACGCTACCAGAGCTCCTTCTGGAAACCCTACAGAGGGTCAATATGAGTCTAATCAACTTGACGGTACTTAACAACAACAACAACAACGCTACCAGAGCTCCTTCTGGAAACCCTACAGAGGGTCAATATGAGTCTAATCAACTTGACGGTACTTAACAACAACAACAACAACGCTACCAGAGCTCCTTCTGGAAACCCTACAGAGGGTCAATATGAGTCTAATCAACTTGACGGTACTTAACAACAACAACAACAACGCTACCAGAGCTCCTTCTGGAAACCCTACAGAGGGTCAATATGAGTCTAATCAACTTGACGGTACTTAACAACAACAACAACAACGCTACCAGAGCTCCTTCTGGAAACCCTACAGAGGGTCAATATGAGTCTAATCAACTTGACGGTACTTAACAACAACAACAACAACGCTACCAGAGCTCCTTCTGGAAACCCTACAGAGGGTCAATATGAGTCTAATCAACTTGACGGTACTTAACAACAACAACAACAACGCTACCAGAGCTCCTTCTGGAAACCCTACAGAGGGTCAATATGAGTCTAATCAACTTGACGGTACTTAACAACAACAACAACAACGCTACCAGAGCTCCTTCTGGAAACCCTACAGAGGGTCAATATGAGTCTAATCAACTTGACGGTACTTAACAACAACAACAACAACGCTACCAGAGCTCCTTCTGGAAACCCTACAGAGGGTCAATATGAGTCTAATCAACTTGACGGTACTTAACAACAACAACAACAACGCTACCAGAGCTCCTTCTGGAAACCCTACAGAGGGTCAATATGAGTCTAATCAACTTGACGGTACTTAACAACAACAACAACAACGCTACCAGAGCTCCTTCTGGAAACCCTACAGAGGGTCAATATGAGTCTAATCAACTTGACGGTACTTAACAACAACAACAACAACGCTACCAGAGCTCCTTCTGGAAACCCTACAGAGGGTCAATATGAGTCTAATCAACTTGACGGTACTTAACAACAACAACAACAACGCTACCAGAGCTCCTTCTGGAAACCCTACAGAGGGTCAATATGAGTCTAATCAACTTGACGGTACTTAACAACAACAACAACAACGCTACCAGAGCTCCTTCTGGAAACCCTACAGAGGGTCAATATGAGTCTAATCAACTTGACGGTACTTAACAACAACAACAACAACGCTACCAGAGCTCCTTCTGGAAACCCTACAGAGGGTCAATATGAGTCTAATCAACTTGACGGTACTTAACAACAACAACAACAACGCTACCAGAGCTCCTTCTGGAAACCCTACAGAGGGTCAATATGAGTCTAATCAACTTGACGGTACTTAACAACAACAACAACAACGCTACCAGAGCTCCTTCTGGAAACCCTACAGAGGGTCAATATGAGTCTAATCAACTTGACGGTACTTAACAACAACAACAACAACGCTACCAGAGCTCCTTCTGGAAACCCTACAGAGGGTCAATATGAGTCTAATCAACTTGACGGTACTTAACAACAACAACAACAACGCTACCAGAGCTCCTTCTGGAAACCCTACAGAGGGTCAATATGAGTCTAATCAACTTGACGGTACTTAACAACAACAACAACAACGCTACCAGAGCTCCTTCTGGAAACCCTACAGAGGGTCAATATGAGTCTAATCAACTTGACGGTACTTAACAACAACAACAACAACGCTACCAGAGCTCCTTCTGGAAACCCTACAGAGGGTCAATATGAGTCTAATCAACTTGACGGTACTTAACAACAACAACAACAACGCTACCAGAGCTCCTTCTGGAAACCCTACAGAGGGTCAATATGAGTCTAATCAACTTGACGGTACTTAACAACAACAACAACAACGCTACCAGAGCTCCTTCTGGAAACCCTACAGAGGGTCAATATGAGTCTAATCAACTTGACGGTACTTAACAACAACAACAACAACGCTACCAGAGCTCCTTCTGGAAACCCTACAGAGGGTCAATATGAGTCTAATCAACTTGACGGTACTTAACAACAACAACAACAACGCTACCAGAGCTCCTTCTGGAAACCCTACAGAGGGTCAATATGAGTCTAATCAACTTGACGGTACTTAACAACAACAACAACAACGCTACCAGAGCTCCTTCTGGAAACCCTACAGAGGGTCAATATGAGTCTAATCAACTTGACGGTACTTAACAACAAAAATTGATGCTTTTATGACTAACGTATAATTCATGGCAAAATGATGTACCTTTTCATTGAGTTACTATCTCAAAAAACGGTGTTCGAAGGTACTCCTTATAAACAAGCTAACAAATTAACAAAAAAGATATTTATGGAGTGGTACTGTAGCATAAGCACTTGACTGCTAACCACAAGGTTAGTGCCTCAAACCTATACAGGGTCGCTATGAGTCGGAATCAACTATACAACACTTAACAACGATCTATCTATCTACACACACACACATATACATATATATATTTTTTATGGCTATAGGATAATAAAAGTAAACAAGTTTCTAGAGACAAATACAGTCTTAAAATTATTGCTTTCAAGACAGACTCACAATGTATATATAACAGTTATTACTATGATGGTACCAAACCATTTGTCAGGTCCCAAAATAGGACTAACACAAAAATAAGTATGTACAATTGCCAAAGGGCCCTGATAAATAATACAAGTAGATTCAATCCTTAGGAAAAGGAACTCACCAATTTACTATTTTTCACTAAAGGCCCTAGAAAAATTCCCATTGGGTGTTAGTAGCCATTCTCTGTTGAAAAGCTGAACTTAATACAATAATGGCTCTTACATCAAAATTTGTCTAAATTTTGAAGAAAGGACAAGTATTAGCTTGATGCATCACATTTATTGGTTGAGTGAAAAAATAAAATATTTAGGAGCCAAAACATTATGGCTTAGTTATATAACACTTTAAAAAAAAGGTAGAAGAAATGAAAACCATACTGAATATGAAATTGTGTCAGTAAAATAGACACGCTAGGCCTTTAGGGGGCAGGAGAAGATTATAAATAACCAATACCTTAAGCTATCATGCTATATAGTCATTTTTATATGTGTATATAGTAATGTATATAATAAAAAGACAGCTAAATAAAATATGCCTTTTGATTTTATGCACAAATAGCTGTAATTACAAGAAAAAAATATGTTAAATTCCAAGTTGAAATTAGAATAGATAGCATCAGGAAATGCATACATAGCTTTTGCTCTATAGTAAAAACTATTCATCTTGTCTCTTTTATAAAAAATACAAATTAATTTATAACATTTTGAGATAAGACTTTTATTATTCAGTTCAGATATAAAAAGAATGTCACAATAGAAAAGGGGATTTGCTGAGAAAAAACAAAAACTGAGCAGAAAGTCATTAGATAAATATTCAGCTCTAGTTGCTTCCTTCACAAAACCCCTGTACAACAGTTATTACCACTGAAATCTTCCGACTTTTACTTAATTGCCTGCAAAATGTGAATGAAGAAGCAATAGTCTAGGATATCAATTTTATAGTCTAATAAGAAATGACTCATAAAAAATAAAATTAATCAAGTTAGCAGTCATACACAGAAAATGAAACAAGAATAAAAACTAAGTAATCACAACTGAATATGTACATCCATTTATTAAGCTCTTTAAATAACTGGTTCACTTGAAATACAAGTATTACTATTAAAAACACACACAGTTCAAAAATACATTTTCATATACTGACTCTGACAGACTTAATAATACTGTAAATAATACATATTATGAAAAGGCTTTCATTTCTGCCAATAAAGGATGATTACATTTGAGTAGAGTTTTTATCCTTACTTTCCATTAATATAAAACAAAGGCATTTTTCCTTATAGATCTTAAATATAAAGTGTTATTTATCTCTGAGGAATTCCTAAGAAACCTAGATCATTTATCCACACCAGTTTAGCATAAATGCACTCACCCCCATGCTGGAGTAGCAGCTTGCCAATTTCGACATGTCCATTTGACAGTGCGTCATGCAAAGGAGTCACCCCGTCCACTTGAGTGAGCAGATCTACCTCTGGACAACGCTGCAAAATTTCCTGGACACACACTGTGTTGCCATAGTTACAGGCTTCATGCAAAGGCGTCCAGCCAACATTGTCTAAATTAGAAATCACGGCAAGTTTTAAAATAGCATAAGTAGGACTTTTAGAAGAGAAAGTATTCTACTTTTCTCATCAGTATAGTTTCTAGTTGCCACATATATATGCAAATATATATAAAAGAATGCTTTGATTAAAATACCTACCCTATATTTCTACTTTTAAGTAAACAAATTAAACTAAGTGAAAACAATTTAAAAATACTAATGTGTTGGGATCTAACCAAATGGACGCCGAAAAAGGTTTCTAATGAGCTATAAATCAGTATGTCATGAATTTCTTGATTTTGCTAATGGCAGTATTTTAAAGATGTACCACATAAGTTTATTTATATGATTTTCTTAATGTTTACATGTAATTATTTCATATCACAAATATTAAGACACTGGATTAGGCTAGAAAGATTCCAAGCTTACCTTTAACATTGATGTCTATTCCTGGAACAGAAAGAAGAAGAATCAATTTCTCCACTTGGTTATTTATGCAAGCTCTGTGCAGGGCTGTTTCTCCTGACATAAAAAATTAATAGATTATTCCAGAGAATACAAGATACCAACTAAAGAAAATAATCAAAGATCATGAGATGTGGCCCCAAGCCAGAAAATTATTTACTGAGTTTTCCATTTAACTGATTTAAACATATATCTTGCATTAAAGAAAAACAAAAATCAAACCAAACCAAAAAAAAAAAAAGAAAATGGGGGTGGAGGAATGGAGGGAACCTCACCAATCCAAAGAGCTTCTGTTCTAGCAGCAATTCAGAAATGAAATTCTATTGCAAAAGGTTTAATGCAGGCATTGTATCCTTCTAGTTCAAGGTTTAAAGCTTCAATCCTGCTATAAAACCCCCAAATGATCAGAGAACACCAAAAATACTGGGCTTTGCAGCAATAAAAGTTTAGAGTGCAATTGCCCTCTTTTAAATTTATTCATGAACCTACGTTAAATGTATGGCTCTTTTTTACGCAGCATTTATAGCTTTAATTCAAATGAATGTTTCTGGTTAAGCACGAGTGCCTCTACACACTCAAGTCTAATTCAGAACTTCAAATCCATTAACAGATGGTTTGCTGCTTCTCAATAGGCTGTCTGGCTTGGCTACAGCAGCACAGAAAAGGAGAAATGATGGAATCTTAATATAAACACACACACACACACACACACACACACACACAGAAAAATCCCTAGTACCATTTAAAGCTGAACAAGGGTGACAAGTAGAATGGCAAGGTTTTAAGGTCTGCTTTTTATAGGTAGAATGCAATTAGTGCATGCTAGCTAAAATTCAGTCTACATACCTATCATTGTTATAATCAAAATGAAGATGTAAGTGATAATATGATAGTAAGGCAACACTGAAAAACTTACAATAAACTACGTAGGAAACAAATGAAATACTGAAATATTCTTTCTTGCTATAAAATACTAAGCAACACATTTTTTGAGTGTTGAGTTTTACTGTTTATCTCTACAAAGTTCTACCAAAACATTTCTTTTATATCCACAGAAAAGCTTTTGAAGTTGTTCTTCTCTACCATTTCTCAATTCTCTTCCCCCCACCTCCTAGTTCCTTCTGCTATTCAGCCTAAAGTCATTCATATTCATTTTCCATTCTGAAACAATAAAACAAAGAAAAAGGATATTAATTTGTGGTTAACACCGGAGTTCTCACCTAATACATTTTACACATATTGAGCAAGATTTGTATGATGCAATTATGAACTTACATCATGTTGAAAGATTATAAAACCTGTCACTACCTCCATAAGTATCATAATGATAAGGCTACTTTTATATTAAAGACACAATATAACTCATCAACAAAAGAGACGCGGGAATTTAATGTGGCCAACTCTTGGAAGGTACTTTTATATTTGTGAGCTAAAAGGTATCTAGGTGGAAAAGGTGTTACAGTGAATGATTACAACACAACTCTTTTTATTCCATCTTTTAGGTATTTAGGTTCCAGTATAGTCAGAACCAAAAGCCAAGCACATTTCATAGTCTGGGCTCAGTGCCTGGAAGAAAAGAGTCCATATGTTTAACACAGCTATGTAACATAGCCTACTCCTCATTCTTTGTTCACAAAATGTCTAGGACTGAAAGAGATGAAGACTGAATTATACTTTCAAATGAGAAGACACTGCTTCTAAGCAGCATAGGTTGAGATGGATTAGAAAAGTAAGGCGGGTAAGTCTGGAATAAGCTCAACACATGCTATATACTGTGTTTAGTATTTGAAGAAGTACAAGAGAGAAAAGGGAAGGAATAAAACAACCATTTTTTTTTTTGTATTAATGAAAGTTCAAGAAAATAATATGCTATACAAGAAGTTATTTCCTAGACCTAGTGCAATATTTAAGTTCAAGTATTCATCAGGGCAAGTATGTTAAAGTTGTAAGTATTGACTACAACCATGAAAAGTTCTTAGCATAAATCAATACTAAGAATATACCTTTTAGATTAGTCTTGTGAAAATTCAGCTTTGTAGCTAAAGAGGGACAATTCTCCTTGGAACATGATAATTCTCCTTCTGACTTCTTTTTCAATCTTTTTAATGATGAGGAACATTTAGTAAGGTTCAGCTCTCTGAAAGGAAGAAATAATGAAAGCTTGTTTTTCAACAAGGCATGCCAGTATGCATTAGATGGTGAAGTTAAAAAAACCCAATAGTCTCCTTTTCATTTAAACCTCCTTAATCATTCAAGTCTGTACTACTTTCTACTTTTAAATTTATTTCAGTTGCCTTGAAACAAATCTTAATGTGTTATTTTTTATTTTGTTAATCCCCACACCCACAACTATCACTGAGAAGTTTATGAATACGGCATGTCAGGTAAAGAGAGAGAGACAATGGGTAAACCACTAGCAGAGAAACTCAAGTGAAAAAGTTCAGATCAGGATGCAGGTCTTTGCTTCCTATTCTTATTCTGATCCTATTCCCTACTTCTTAAAGAACATTTCAGGTTTGTTGAGTTTCATAAGCCACACTTTTAGAGGTTCCTAGGAAGTAATAACAATTTAAGGTACCTAACATTACCGTACATCCGTTAACTCCCATCTTTATTACATAAAAGAAGTCATATGGCCAAAATTATAGATGTAAAACAATACTTTTAGAATGGAGGAAAAGCTATTTTGTTTTAAAATTATGGTAAAGTATGTACAGTTAAACATTTACCATTCTAACCATTTAAAAATGTATAATTCAGTGACACTAACGTGTCACACTGTGCAACTATCGCCACTATCCATTTAAAATATAACTTTAAGAGTATTACTTCTTTTGAGAAACACTATTTTTAATAGAAAGAAAGCATTTTCCTTATATTGCAGAAAGAAAAAATGTTGCTCATGTGTATTTCCAGGTCTAAAATTAAGTTTTCTGCTAATCAGTATAACTGCTAAACAGCATCACAAACAAACATAAAGTTCAAAAGACAAAGAGCTGTACTCCAAAACAAAGCACAGTTGGTATATAAGTACCACTTACGATAACTCTGGCAATCCTTCCACTTGTTTCTGTTTAGCACCATTCACCATTAGTAAGGCCCTCTGAAATTCCAGGCAAGGCCTCTGTCCTGTTTTCTTTGGTATCTGCATCTTTCCAACCCCATGCATACCAGTTTTCCCCAATGCTGGCAAATAGGAATATACCTGTTTCAAAATAATAATATATTGCTTTCTCAACTACAAAGGCCTAGAAAGCAGTAAAAAGGAATTACTGGATACATTCACCATTAAATTTGGTTTTATATTCTCAGTTTCATCCTGATGGTTACCACCCTATCTCATTTGAACATCATAAATCAAGACCACATGGGCAAGAAGAAAACTACCTTCTTAAAAGTAATTATTTTTCTAATTCAATTTTGATGCTCATTTAGTAAAGGTTTTTTGATTAGTCTTATGCTTGACATGAGTCTTCTGCATATTTTTCTATAGAAGTACATATGATATATATACAACTGGTATTTTGTAATTTTCACTTGATATACCTTTCTTCGATAGAAAACAAGTCTAAATAATACAACGAGAATAAGTGAAGACCTTAAAAACAAAAGAACTCTCATCTTAACCATTAAATAAGTATATTTTTTATTTGTTGAAGAAACTGCTACAGATATTAGGTATTAATAATATGCAAATATAGATAAGACTAAAGAACCCTAGACCAAATGCAGTTTTTATGTGCATGTGTATATGGGATAAAAGAAAATAGCCTTTGGCATCATTTGCAAATATTGCTTTTTAATTATCATTAGATAAGGAGCTCTGGTAGCGTAGTGGTTACAAATCAGGCTGCGAACCTCAAGGTCAGCAGTACGAATCTACCAGCTGTTCTGTGGGAGAAAGAAGAGGCTTTCTGCTCCTGTAAAGATTTACAGCCTCGGAAACCCTGTACAGGGTCGCTATGAGTCAGAATCGACTTGACAGCACTTAACAACAATTATGTAGACTATTTCTTGGATTTATGCATTTCCAAAAGCACAATCTTTTGGCAAGTGATAAAGAAAGATTCTTCAATTATCTTTTTTATTACTAATCCTTAATTTTTCCCAAATAAGTAATTACAGTTTATTCACCGATTACTCCATTTCTGAGGTAAAAATACCAAGCCTTACAAAGATTTGAAAGATCTATGAATTAATGTGTTCTGTTCAATTATTAGAAATGAATAAGAGCATTTTAAAATTGAATTTATAAACTTATTTCTTGGATATTCACAGAACTAAAACAGAATGGTGTTTACCATTTTCTGAAGAGAGAGTGGCTCAGAAGAAATACTGATGGAACTCTGCAAACACAACTTTTTATAGACTGCCTCTGCAATGAACATTTGAAGCCAGGAGGAGGAGAACGAACAAATAAAAAGCTCTAATTCTTGTGAAGAAAAGTCTGCAGAAAACAAGAGAAATATAGTTGCTACATCCTATATAATTTCTTTCTAGAGACTATTTCCTCAGGGGATTTTACTTATTCAAATGATAATTCCTATACCAGTAAGAGTTGGTTCAAATCCACCAGCTACTCCTCGGAAACCCTATACAGGGTTGTTATGGGTAAGACAACTTGACGACACTTAACCACAACTTTAATATAAATGACAGAATGGATAAAATACTAAAGAACTGAAATTAAACAAAACAAATAGTACAAAAGATAGTGTTACTATATAACAAGGCAGATATCTACAAACACTAGAAGAATTTGTTGTTGTTATGTGCTGTAGAGTCGGTTCTGACTCATAGCAACCCTGTACAATACAGAATTAAAAAGTCAATAAAATTAATAAAATGAGCATAACAAATGGCTGAAGAGTTAAAAATACAAGCATTATGCTGAATTTTTAAAAAATTGGATAAGGCACACACATTCAACATGAATTGCTTACATAAGAGACAAATACATAAGGGGGTTGTGCAGTTTGCAAAAACCCTTCTAACACATGGTATTTGTGTAACAATATGGTAGAGAGACCTCCCTAATTAGAGGTGGAGTTCCAATAGGCTAGTGGTTCAAATCAACCAGCCACTCCTTGGAAGTCCCATACAAGGTCACTATTGAGTTGGAACCAACTCTATGGCACTTAATAATCAATACCACCAAAAGGGGGTTGCAGACACCCAAAGAATGTCCTAGATGCCTAGAGTGGAATTCAAATGCAGGGTGGGGTGGGGTGATTTTCCAACAAGGATCATTTGGCAATATCTTGGGGTCATGATATGGCACTGTAAAATAAGCACTGGACTGCTACCCTCAAGGTAGGTAGTTCAAACCCACCAGCTGCTCCTTGAAAAGCCTACATAAGGTTGCTAAAAGTCAGAATCAACTCGACAGCACCTAACAACAACAGGGATAATGGTCCAGATCCACACCCAATCAAGGGGATGTTGTAGGACCAGACAGCATTTTATTCCACTGCACATGGGGAGAGGAGGCAAGATGGTAGACTAGGCAGAAAGACTGTGCGGGCTCTCTGCAGCAAGGATATGGAATACTGAACAAGACAGACACAGAGGATGGTCCTGGAACTCTGTGTTCCAGAGGAATGGATAGAAAATTGGATGGAGAGCTTACTGGAAGACAGATGAATACATGCGGCAAGAGACGACATGACAGACGAGCAGCAGTAGATAATGGAGGCTGCCGCAGTCATCCTGAAAGTTTGTGAATGGCTTTAAAGATGAGTAAGAATATTGGCATTGCAGAAACCAACCTGAAGCTTGGGAGGAGGCAGACAGGGTGGGTTGCTGCTGTTCCTACTCTCACCTTAAGTACCCTGGAGGGACCAAGTTCTGATAATTTGGGGCCTGGAGGCTACAGCAAAAGCCACTGGCCAACCTCCCCACTCTCCTCTGCTGCCTGGGTTGCTAAACTCCTCTCCTGCTTTGGATTCCAAGCTTCTAAAACCAAGAGCATATTGCTTGGTTTCATGGGGTCTTCTGTGGCCTGTGGGGCAGCAGGAGGTGGCTGAGGCTGAAGAAGGCGCAGCTGCAGGAATGTTGCTACCTTTACTTTGACAATCTTGATTTCCAGCTCTGCTGGCTGCCTGAGATCCAGAACTGCGCATGGTGCCTCTAGTCTAGCCGCTGGGCCCCATGTCCCCTAGAGTGCCAGCCCTTATGGACAGCAGGGCCTTGGGGTCCAGGGCACAGTGGTGATGGGCAAAGGAGTCCTGAGGATCTAGACTCCAGAGCTGCTTCCATGCCCTCTTCTTCCTTGCATAGTGCAGACTGTGCATAGTGATCAAGTCTCTGAAACCTAATCATACTGATAAGTGAAGAGTAGGTGAATTATCATAGTATGACTTTTGTATTTTTGACTTAGGAAAAACCAAAATATCCTATTGATCCTAAATGAGAACAGACAAACCAAGATCTTTAATTAGAAGTTATACAACAGCCAAATTTTAATACCTTTGCTAATGACACCTTGTTGTTGTTGTTAAATGCTGTTGAATGGGTTCCAACTCATAATGATCCTGTATAGGTAGGTTTTCAGGAGTGGCTGATGGGTTTGAACTGCCAACCTTGTGGTTAGCAATCAAGTGCGTATCTTACAGCACCACATCAGGACTCCTTTCTAATGATTTAAGAGAAGCAAAAGACAGTAACTGAGTTGAAGAATAATTTAAATTAAAAAAGCATATCCATAAAGAAAAGGAAATGAGGGGGGGAAAAAAGGTAGAAACAATTACCTTTTAATTTCTTCATCTAAATACTAATAAAGAGTATTATTATAAGACCTGATTCACCTATAAGGGAAAAGTGTGCTATTTTCCCAACTCCATAATAAGTAATCCATATTATATTACATAATAGCTATAGGCAAGATATTGTTCTCTTAAGGGTAAATGATTCACTTGATTTATGTCCATTGACAAAGCTTAAAAATCAAGTTGTACTAAGACCAAAAAGTTACGATTTTAAGACTGAATCATTTTTAGAAACATATGTTTTTAAAAGACATCTTACCTATAGCATAAGGGGCAAGGAAAATATAAAACCTACTTTCACACAGGGATGTAATTTTAATTCAATCTGGACTTTTAAATACTAGTGATCAAATATAGGTCCTGGCAAGCAAAGTCATCACTCAATCTGTTGATAGGATTACAATAGGTATAAATAGGTATAAATTAGCTTAGGTCAGTCTCAGGTTCATACTTCCTGCATTTAGACTTGAGGACTATTCAGAAAACAGACAAAGAAAGCACTCAAGCTGGTGTAACATGTGTGGTTAGTTGTCACTGAGGAGATTCTGACTCATGGAGATCCCACATGTACAAAGGAGAACTGTTTACATGATTTTTTTAAGAAGTGAACTGCCAGGACTGTCTTAAGGCACCTATGTTGCTGTGTGCCGTCAAGTTGGTTCTGACCCATAGTGACCCTGTATAAGTTTCCAAGGAGCAATTGGTGAGCTTGAACCACTGACCTTGTGGTTCAAACTGACTTTGTAGTCCAGTGTATTAACCCACAGTGCTACACCAGGACTCCAAAGTATCTACGAATGGGTTCAAACCATCATTCTTTTGGCTAGTAGTTGAATGCTTTACCCATTTGCATCACTCAGGACTCCTTTTAATACGTAATATAACCCTGTTTGGACTCCTGGTGTGGCACTGTAGGTAAGCACTGGACTGCAAACCACAAGGTCAGCAGTTCAAACTCACCAGTCATTTCTTGGAAATCCTATACAGGTTTGCTATGTGTCGGAACCAACTCAACAGCACACCACCACCACCATTACAATCTGGGTGCAAGCATTATGGACAACCTTTCTTTTCCTCTTTACATTGCCTGTCATTCTCTCTATATACAATACATACACACATATATAGATAATATGACTATTTTAAGGAAAGTTTCATATGAACATGTGTTAAACATTATAGACCACCTAAAGAAACCCTTAAAGAATTTCTAGGTGGGTCTAAGAGAAACATTAATACAAATACACTTACCATCACATGAAAGGGAAACATAACTTCCTAAGTCATCAGACAAGTGTCGCATCACATTTCTACCCATCTTCAGACCAAGGAAGATCCAATAATCTACTGCTGCTCCAAGAATTCCAGTCAGTAGGTAAGCTAGCTCATGTTTGAAGACCTAACATTAAGATTGGAAAGTTTTATAAAAATGCATTATTTCTATCAATATTTGTTTTGAATACTCGTCGAGACGGAAAGCTAAGCTATTTAAAAACACTGGGAATGGTACTGCTATAAGGTTCAGGCTCTAGGAAACACTTTACATTTGCTTTTCTTCTTGTGTACAGGTGCACTCTCTCTCTACACACATACGAGGAACAGTTAATAAAACAAAATTTTCAGGGGCTTCTACATAGAAAACCTTAAGATAGAACTTGTAAAATAATTTTATCCAATGGTGGTGTGATTCTGTCAGGTAATAATTCCATTAAATCAATGATGAAATATTTGGCTTCTATGAGTTTCTCTTGAGATTTCTGTTAATAGGAACATATGGGTATAAAAGAAGATAGATTTAGTCACCCCTGCTGTTTATGAATACAGAATTAAACTTTAAATTTCTCTAAATGGGCACTTTCTAGGAAAAGACTTAAAAAACACAGTGAATACAACCTTTAGCAAATAAGACTGTCCATTTGTAGTAATGAAGTAAACCAACTCAAACCTTACTATTAAATTCTACCACATACTCATTACCTAACCTTGATTGATAGAGATCAGTTTAAGACAGTCTGAATATATGCTTTAAATGATCATTTCTATAATAAATATAACGCCTATTTGGAAAAACTAACAAAGTCCTCAGGAAACCAACTTCTGATTAGATAGTACAGGGTCCTAGCCTGCCCCTCAGATGAGGGAGGTAGACAGCTCCTGAAACCAGGAAGTGAAATTGGGATTCTACAGGTCTTTCAATTCATGACGCTGATTAACTTGTCTCAGAATTTTTCATTAGGGTAAATATGTATGTAGCAAAATATTGCCATTTCAATGAAAACTTGTGTTTTAACTATCCTCTGACTGAGCACTAGGAGCCTGTGACAGTTAAGGTTTTGTCAACTTAACTGGGCTAGAATTCTCAGTGGTCTGATAGTTGAGATGTTGTTATCCCCATGAGATTTAATACAATGTAATTAATTCTATGATGAGTTCTGTTATGAGCAGCCAATCAACTGAAAGGATGTTTCCTTGGGGGTGTGACCTGCTTCCAATATTTTAGTCATTCAGGCAAAGCTTGTCTGCTTTTCTGCTTGGTCTGGATCTTGCATGTGGCTCATACTCTGACCTCTGGTTCGTTGGACTTCAGCCAGTAACCTGCTCTATTACCAGCAGATCCTGAGAACCATCAGCAGCCTTTCTTCTTAACTATGGACCTGCCTGCCATCTAACCTGCCAATCTTAGTTCACTGGACCTGGGAATCTCCCACCCGTACAAATGTGTTAGCCATTTCCGTGATATACTCACTATATATACGTGTGGAGTCCTAGTGTAGTGCTATAGGATAAGCACTCAACCACAAGGTCAGCTTGAACCACCAAGACTGCCACTTCAAATCAACCAGCTGCTCCTCAGAAACCCTATACAGGGTTGTTGAGTCAGAACCAACTCAACGGTACTTAGCAATATATATATATATATATATATATATATATAAAGTTTCACTGGTTTTGCTTCTCTAGAGAATCCAGCCTAACACAGGGTCCTAGTAAGCAGTAGGTTACACGTTGGGCTGCTAAGTGCAAAGTCAACAGAGTTCACCAACTACTCCCTAGGTGAAAGATGAGGCTTTCTGCTCCGGTGAAGATTTACTGTCTTGGTCAATGTGAGTTAGAACCGACTTGAGGGTGCCACCACCGCCAAGAGTGGCAGAGCTCTGGTGGTGTACTGGGTTAGATGTTTGGTTGTTAACTGCAGATATAGTGGTTCACATCTACCGGACGCTCCATGGGGGATGTGATGAGGTTTTCTGCTCCCACAGAGATTTATAGCCTCAGAAAGCCTATACAGGGTGGCTATGAGTCAGAACTGGCTCAATGGCACATAACAACATAGTTGTTACACTTTGTTGACTTGGTTCAGACTCATAGTGACTCTGCACAGTATTTTCAAGGAGTGTCTGGTGGGTTTCAACCATCGACTCTGCATATAATAATCTAGTAGTTATCCTATAGGGCCAGACCATTATTAGTAAATTCATATAGGAATTGTATCCAAAAACTAAAACTCACTGCCATAGAGTTAACTTCAACTCAAGGAGACCCAACAGGGCAGAGATTTCCAAAGCTGTAAATCTTTATGGAAGCAGACTGCCACATCTTTTTCCCATGGAGCAGCTGGGGGATTCAAAGTACCCAACTTTTGACTAGCACGTAGAGTTCTTAAACCAGTGAATCACGAAAGCCCCTAGGTAAGAACTATAAAAGAAACTAAACAAAAACCACCACCACCAAGTCAATGGTGAGCCACAGTGATCCTACAGGACAGGACAGCACTGCTCTATTAGGTTCCCAAGGCGGAGTAGAAAGCCTCATCGTGTACCCGTGGAGCGGCTGGTAGGTTTCAACTGCCAGCCTGTGTTTAGCAGCTCAATACTTAATCCACCACTCCACTAGGAATCCTACATAACAACTATGTTGTTCTGATTCATTGCAACCCTGTGTATAGCATGCACTCTCAGAGTAATTTCTATCACCAAAGCCGTATTTTCCAACTACTGATTCCCTCCTATTTGTTTCCAACTTTCATATTCCAATCGCCAGTGACTCTCAATGTATCTGATTACATGTTCCATCAATCTCAGATTGAAGAAGCTGGTAGAATTCTCCAATTTCTTCATTATTAGCTTTGGTGGTTAGTACACTAATTTGAATAATAGTTATTAACTGGTCTTCTCTGTAGGCATACAGATATTATCCTATTATAGACAGCATTGTATTTAAGAAAGTTTTTAAAATGTTCTTTTGACAACGAATGTAACAGTGTTCCTGTTTAGTCATTCCTGGCATAGTAAACCGTGTTATTGTTGTTAGTGCTATTGGGTTAGTTCCGACTCATACTGACCATGTATTGGGTTTCTAAGGAGTGGCTGGCAGATTTGAATGCTGACTTTGCAGTTAGTAGTCCAGTGCTTATCCTAGTGTCACACCAGGACCATATGAGTCCCACTCAAAGTGTCCAATACCAATCCACTTCAGCTAATGCCTAGGATCTGTATTTGCTCCATTTGGTTTTTGACAACTTCCAGTTTTCCTAGATTTCTACTTTTTACATTTCATGGTCTAATTATCTATAGATGTTTGTAGCTGATTCTTCTCATTTTGAGTTATGTCCCATCAGCAAATGAGGGTCCTGAAAGCTTTTCTCCATCATTAAGGTTGACTCTACTTTGAAGTAGCAGTTGTTTCTCGTTAATACTTTGTATGTCTTCCAATCTGGGGGGGTCATCTTCTGGCAGTTCATCAGACAATGTTTCACTGCTCTTCATAAGGGTGACCCTGCCAGCATTTGAAATACAGCTTCCAGCATCACAGCAACAAGAAAGCCACCACAGTACAACAAACTGACAGATGTGTGATATAGTTCTAGTGTGATAAGAACTATAGCAAGGCATATGAACCTTACTTTAAGAGTGCTTTACCCTGATGTTTATAAATACTTTCCTAATCTATAAAATTCAGCATAAACTATAAAGATGAAGAAGTGTGAAAATAATATTTAAAAACACCTTTGATTTAAATGTAAACACTTTTCCACAATGACATTAAAGCTAGTTGAAATTCCTATATTTTTGGTATTTGTTGTCTAGGCATATTGGATGCGTGAAAAAAATCATTAAATTAACAGTTGGGTAGAAGGTATGTGAAAGGGTTTTAATATATGTTATTATGGTATCTGAATATATTATAAGTGCTACGTTCTATCATTATAGTATGTCCAATATAAGAGAGTGACAAAGAAATCCCGAGTACTTTGAACTCTCAGTGACTACTAGATCTGTTTCACTTTCCCTTACTAGAAAGGTTCTCATATGCATATAGACAGTATTTCATTAGCTTATCGTTCCTTACAATAAAGAACTATTAGTCAAATGATGTTCAAATTGAAGCTGTGATGTCTGGTTTGTTGAATAAACAAGGACAAACAGTCAAACCACATAAACATCAGATTTACTGAAGAAGCGCTTACTGAGTCAAGGTCAACAGCACTGACTACACTCTGGGGCAATAAACTGTTATCTGGCAGGACTAGATTTTAGCTTCTGGGAGACAGAACTCAAAAGTGCTAGGGTGCTAGGCTAAGGGGACTTCAGGCTGCTGGTTCAGGGAAGCACTGTCCTTCCTCTGATATGACCAGTGGCCATGATACAGAACCTTGACTATAGCTTGATCCTTCCAGGTTAGGCTTCATAGATGAGCATCAGCACTAGTCCCTCTCCTACCTTGCTTACACGTTCAGCCTTCAGTTGCAGCTGAATGATAGGGGCGGTAAATAGCAGGACTAGACATTTCAACAGGTTGGGAAAGCACCAATCCCTCCCATGGCATGATACTGGGGGGCGGGGCTGAGGCTAGGAATCTAGCTGACTAGAATTAACTGCCTGAAACACCAAAGAACTTTGCAGGAAGCCAAGTCCCTTCTGCATGACACCAACCTGTAAATGACCAATCTATGTACCCAGACAGGCACAGCCATGGCTCAAGTTATCAAGACAGCATAAAACAGGCCAGTGAAACATACATTTAAACTGGTATGTTTAAAAAAAACCTGGTCCTTTTTGTGGTCTTGAGTTCTGTTCCACATTTTTTCTCCTCCTCTACAGCTTGTTGTTGTTAGGTACCACTGAGTTGGTTCCAACTCACGGTGACATGATGTACAACAGAAGAAAACACTGCTTGGCAATGTACAATTATCCAATTGTTATGTCTGAGGTCACTGTTGCTAATTGTGTCAATTCATCTGGGGGGGGGGGTTGTCTGCCTTTTTCTCTGAGTCTCCACTTTACCAAGCACAGTATCTTTATACAGGAACTGATCTGATCAATACCAACAACATGTCTAAAGAACAAGAGACGAAGTCTTGCCATCCTTGCTTCTAAGGAGCATTCTGGCTGTATTTCT